GATGTTAAACAACGTCAACACGGATGCACACATCCTTAAATGCTTTGCTAGTGCTCGCCATAATGAGATGAATAGAGATCGCTCTTACCACAGAAATGCACGCTTCAAACAAAACAGTCAATGAAGACGAAGAAGAGAATGATGTGTGCTCCCGGCGCCTATTTATACTATAGTCGCACCGGTAGTGACGTCATGGCTGTCGCTGGCCAATGAGTTGGTGTTTTTTCAATGTATGCTTCAGACACGGGTCACGACGAGGCGTCCCCATAGCGACCCCTAGAGGACGCAGTTCGAAGTTCCAATGAAAGGGAACAGGTTTTATTGTTTCTGAGCCACTCTTCGCCCAAACCAGCAGGTTCATAACAGTATACTGCTCGGTCCCTCGCCGCATCGGCTCAAATTCATTAGAAATCACACTTATTATATTAAATATTTCTATTTTATTTTATCTTCGTTTATTTGTATTATCATTTTTTTAAAGGTTCAACAAAACTTCAGTTAAAATCGTATCTAACTCCATTTTATTATAAACTTGAATTTCAGATTGAGAAGCCAATTGATGGTAATTTACTGTATATTAACTAATCTCTGTATAATAATTTGCATTAAATAGTTTCAGTTGACCGGGATTTTGCACCCTGGCTGTTGACGAACAGTAAGTGATTTGGACTGAAGGCCCTGTGAAAGAAAGAGCACAACAAGTAAAGTATCTCTGAACTCTCTGACTTTTATTACCATTTAGTCTATTTCTCTGGACATGAGACGACTGCACCAGACGCACGGATGCATTTTAAATGATATCAAGCATGAATGTTTTGCATAATTCTGAGTGAAGAGAAGCATGGATACAGGGAAGGAAACAAGGACAGCAGGGAAAGAGGCTTTTATGCATCTTGTTTGTCTGGAGATCAAAGTATTTGGAATTATTCCAGTCTAACAGTTTTATACAAAGCGAATCAAGAAACAAAAGTTAATATGACAAACAAGAATAAAGAAACAAAGACATTCTCCTCATCTGTAGCACAAAGAGCAAATCAAAACATATATTATTTAATTCAACTTTAAAGACAGAATTACAAGAAAAACTCAAATGCCTACATCTTCAATGAAGAGTGGAATCTGGCCAAATATATATATTTTTGTTTGTTTTGTGAGAATGGTGGCTAATTCCAAAGAAGTCATATAAACTAATTTATCACTTTCCGAACTACTACTACTACTACTACCATTATTATTATTATTATTATTATTATTATTATTATTATTATTATTGATCGTCTGCTGACAAGATGAGTCACAATCAGACTCGAAGTCTCTGGATGTTTGTGCTTCAAGCTGCCCAAAACTACAGCTGTATGAAACACTGCACACGCCCTTCACTGATGCTCATGTCATTACAATCACTTACAAACTGTTTCTGAAACACACAGCGGATGATTTTAATCTGTTATCAACTTCTACACTTAAATAAGGCATTATATTTACACGCGGCTTTGTTCCGTGGCTGATGCTCGCCTCGAGTTTGATCTGACCGGAGCAAAACAAACATTTCCTCGCCGCGTGTTTTAGTCTCCATAGAAAGCCAAGAACCTCTGCTTGCTGGTCATTTTGTTTCTACTGCCTCAAACTGTTTTAGCACTCGAGTTTTGCTCTTAAATGTAGGAGAAGAAACTTAAATGTGGGAGAAGAAAACACAAGCGCCAGCGGCTCGCTGAGGCGCGCAGACACAGAGCGGCGGGTTGAGTCTATAAGGCTCTCATGTGTTGTTTAAGAGCGCAGCGCTGCTCGAGCGACACTCTTTGAACTCAGTGTTTGAAAGACTGTAACTCCGCTCAGAGAAATGGCAGAAACCACCCCAACTGCTGCCGCCCCGCCGGCCACAAGAAGCCGGTGAAGAAAGCAGCTCCTAAGGCGAAGAAGCCCGCGGCAAAGAACCCCGCTGCTGCCAAGAAGCCCAAGAGCGCAGCGGCAAAGAAGCCCGCCGCTAAGAAATCGCCCAAGAAGGCCAAGAAACCCGCAGCCGCCGCTAAGAAAACGACGAAGAGCCCCAAGAAAGCAACGAAGCCCGCGGCGCCCAAGAAAGCAGCCAAGAGCCCCAAAAAGGCAGCCAAGAGCCCCAAAAAGGCCAAGACTGCCAAACCCAAGGCAGCAAAGCCTAAAGCTGCCAAGCCTAAAAGGGCAGCTCCCAAGACGAAATAAACATCTACTGTTTTATTCCCCAACGGCTCTTTTAAGAGCCACCCACTAACTCGAAAGAAAGATCAAAAGACCCACTTTTTGACTCTTAGAAGTAAACTTATAAGACTAAGTTTACCTCGACTCCTAATGTTTTACATGTTGACTACATTTAGGAAGTTATTCACGTTTATTAATATGAACAGCTTTAATGGATCATTGATCTATAATTAGGTTAAAAACAATATTTACTAATGTTTTTGCATCGATATTTTTTAAAACCTTATTCAAACCCCCCCCATAACAACCTCATGTTTTCTGTCATGTGTTTAGTCCTAAATGCAGCACAATCCGCGCGCCCGCTGTGGAGGCGTGGCTTTGGCGGTTGGTGTTGGAGGGAAGTTCAGTGATTGGTTTAAATCTAATAACGCTCTAAACCAATGGGCGACTGGCACGCTCGTTTAAAAGCAGCATAGCGGGGCTCAGAAATATATTATTTCTGATCTGTACACAGAAAAGTGCTTGTGTCGGAAGATGAGCGGCAGAGGCAAAACCGGTGGTAAAGCGAGAGCGAAGGCCAAGAGTCGCTCCTCCAGAGCAGGACTGCAGTTCCCCGTCGGTCGTGTTCACAGGCTTCTCCGCAAAGGTAACTACGCAGAGCGCGTCGGTGCCGGAGCTCCCGTCTATCTGGCGGCTGTGCTCGAGTATCTCACCGCCGAGATCCTGGAGTTGGCTGGAAACGCCGCCAGAGACAACAAGAAGACCCGCATCATTCCCCGTCACCTGCAGCTGGCGGTGCGCAATGATGAGGAGCTGAACAAACTCCTGGGCCGAGTTACCATCGCTCAGGGCGGCGTGCTGCCCAACATCCAGGCCGTGCTGCTGCCCAAGAAGAGCGAGAAGCCCGCCAAAGCCAAGTAAACAGATTTTAGTCTGTTTCTGGAACAAAGGCTCTTTTAAGAGCCATCCACTTCATCTGATAGAGTGCTTTCCTTTTAGTTTGTTTCTATCATTGACAAGCAATGTAAGTTTTAAAATGAGAAAGATCAACCAAATAATTATACTAACACTGTGGGTAATTACAAATAAAATAAACAGCTGGTGATAATTTTATTACTTTAAACGCACAATGTTTCATAACCAATAAATGAAATAAAGTTAGAAAACCTATAACGGGGTGTTTGTGGCATAAAAGTTGGACTCTGCTAAATAAAAAAGTTGACTGGTGTTTTGAAGTTAGTTTTTCTTAATGTAACATTAAAATGAATTATGCGTAAAATAATAAACTGAACAAAGCATTTTGAGCGGGAAACACAAACAGCCCAGTTTGAAAACAGAAGCTGCGCAGTCATTGGCTAGCAGTCATGCGCAGACGTCACATATCAGCCAATCACAAGCCTCTGCACCTTCATGACAGCATTAGCTCGTGGCCGTTTGATGCTTTAAAAGCAGGAGCATGAGTTAGAACAGTATTTTCTCAGCGAGGCTTATTTGGTCGGTCTGTTTGAGGACACCAACCTGTGCGCCATCCACGCCAAGAGAGTCACCATCATGCCCAAAGACATCCAGCTGGCCCGCCGCATCCGCGGAGAGCGCGCTTAAACCCGCCGCTGCGGTGCTCCCCAAAGGCTCTTTTAAGAGCCACCACCACCGCACTGAACGAGACGGTTTCCTCTAATGCTGAGAATAACAGATAGGAAGAAATGCTGTTCGAGTCTTAAGTTTATGCTTCTATCAATCCTAGTTACCCATTACTACAGAACACCGATAAAACCGCAGAAGTGCCAGTGTTAATCACTCACTTTCGCAATGACACTTCAAGTAAATAATACCAAAGAATACCATACTTATTATATACACACTCATGTACATATTAAGTGTATTTATTCTACATTGTCGTTTTTAAACTAGCAAACTGGCATAAATCTTTCTTGCGTTTAATGTGTCAGTAGAGGTTGTAGGTTATAATAGCTGTTTATTTGCGGCTGAATTGAGAACCAATGGTTTAATGTTGTGTTTAGCTCTCCGTTTACTTTGGTGCAGGTTCCTGAGCTCAAATAAAGCAGCGCGCCTCTAAACAACAACGATGATGATGATGATGATGATGATCTATAAGCAGAGCGTCTGCCAAATGCAAACATGTAAATATTATCTTATAAGTCTTTGTCAAATGAATCATAAAACATGGATTTTAATACGACACAAAGCACAGACATTGTTCGATCAGAGTTTGGGTTTAAACCACATTGTGTACTGTTGGAACTAGCGGGGGAGGGGTGCGTCATGTGACGCGGAGCTGGTTTCAGTTAGGTCCTGTAAGCAACTGTAAAATGCCTCCCTGGAACAATGGCTTTGCATTCGTCGTCATCGCTTGATTGAAGTAAAAAGCATCGTAATCATGTCTGGAAGAGGCAAAGGCGGTAAAGGGCTCGGGAAAGGAGGCGCGTAACGGCACCGTAAAGTGCTGCGGGATAACATCCAGGGAATCACTAAACCCGCCATTCGTCGTCTGGCGCGCCGCGGCGGCGTCAAGCGTATTTCCGGTCTGATCTACGAGGAGACCCGCGGTGTGCTGAAGGTGTTCCTGGAGAACGTTATCCGCGACGCCGTCACCTACACCGAGCACGCCAAGAGAAAGACCGTCACCGCCATGGACGTGGTGTACGCGCTGAAGCGACAGGGACGCACCTTGTACGGCTTCGGAGGATAAACGCCTTCAATCAGGAGAACAACCCCAACGGCTCTTTTAAGAGCCACAC